TGCCCATCAACCTGTCTGAAGTAATTGGTGCTGCCAGAAGAAGACATATCTCACTGTCAAGAAAATTCTAAATTCATAAAACATTTTAAATGTTTTAAATATTTAAATGGGGGCTGGAGAGATGGCTCAGCAGTTAAGAGCATTGCCTGCTCTTCCAAAGGTCCTGAGTTCAATTCCCAGCAACCACATGGTGGCTCACAACCATCTGTCATGAGATCTGGTGCCCTCTTCTGGCCTTTAGGCATACACGCAGATAGAATATTGTATACGTAATAAAATTAAAAAATATTAAAAAAGAAAACTCTTTAGCCCCTTTCTTCCCCTCTCCATTTTGGGAATTATCTCAGAGAGGTCTTAGGTATTTGTTTGACTCTGCTGTGGGCATTGAAGTTGAGATTTCTGGAGAGAAGAAGGTTTATTTCATCTTGACTTTTATGTTTGAGTTATTTTTAATATTTTCCTGTAAATATTTTGTAATATTTTATTTGTAGTGAAAAATGGATTACAATGCCATTTCCTATTTCAAAGCAGAATATGTGGAAAGAAAATGCACAATTCTCAAATTAAAGTTATTTCCCACAGGGGAAAATATTTAAATGTTTTAAATATTCTGTAGGTCTTTGAAGTGTTGAAGATCATTTATCTAACTGAAATATATCTCTCTATATATATCTAGAAAGCTTAACTAACATGACCACAAGTTTAACTATTATAAATGACTACCTGTTAATCTGCAATTTTTAATTATACATTACATTTTTAAATGAATTGTCTAAACATAATACCTTAAACAAGAACAGACATACATATAACAAAATTGACCTTAAATTTGTATCAATAGACCAAGATCCATACCAATACAAAGTCTTCCTCTCTATATCATATCTCTTCTATTTTTTTTAAAAAAAAAGATATACTGTGACCATTAGCGATTTATATCCAACCCCTTTTAAATGAAAATTAACATTTATAAACATTTATTTAGAGAATTAGGCCATAGTTTTCTTCAAACTGCTGCCTGCTTTCTGTTGAGCGAAGTATTTTAGGGTTTACAGAGACCTTAACAGCAGCACATAAACAGAAGGACATCACTATAGGATATAAAGGAGGAAATACAAATGGATAGCCTTGAAAAGTACTCGTAAAACTGGGGTCTGGAGAGCTGCCTCGTGGTTAAGAGCACTTGCTGCTCTTCTAGAGAAGGACATGAGTTCCATTCCTGGAACCTGATTAGGTAGCTCACAACGGCCTGTAACTTCACCTTCAAGAAATCTGACCCCCTCTAGATTCTGGGGGCACCCCCCACATGCATACACATATACATAAAGATAATTTTTTAATACTTGTTTAACATAAGGATTCACATGAAGATAAGTATAAATGATTAATGAGGTTTGCCTGGGGAAAATAAAGGAAGCAACTCAAAAGAAATTAACAAATAAATAATATAAAAGATCAGTGGAGAGGAGAAATGGAATAAATAAAAATAATATTTATTTCCCAAGCCCAAGATGTATGTATGACATTTCATACCTCTTACTATGTTGTACTGCCAATAAAAGAAAATGCTGTGGGTGACCTTAGATCAACCAGTATAGCCATTGCGGGAAGATATGAAAATGGTAAAAGTAGAAAAAGATCAACAAGAATCAACTCAGGAAGATCCCGACAGCCTATACCCAGTCAAGAAGCTGAATTCCAGAAAGCCTTTCTCTTCCCTTCCAGAAGCTACTAAGACATACATGGTTTACAGAGAGTAAACTGTCCGTCATGCCTTCACACGTAAGTTGCCTGCAGGGGACAGAGCCTGTTTGTAGACCCAAGAAGAGAGCAGCCGAGTCACTCACTGCATGAGACTCAGAAAACCTGAACATGGAAGGAAATGGCACAGTGAACATGTTAAGCATGCTAAAAGAATAGCTGCATAGCACACGGGCAGTAGTGTGATCCTTTACCTTGATGGGTTGAAGAGAACACTTCCCAGGGCACAAGGCCTCACAATCCATCTCTAGCACTGCCGCAAGGGTAGGGGAGGTAAAGTAACAGCTGAACTGATTACATAAAACACATGCATTCTCATAGTTAGCCAAAGATCTTTTAAGGAAATTTGAATTAGGGGGGATATGGGATTGCCTTGATTTGATGAAGGGAAGATAGTGGAAACCTAGCGTGAACATCATGTTCAATGGTGAGACTTGAGAAGCTTTCCCATTATAATCAGAAAAGCAGCGTGTGTTGGATACTTCTATTAAATAGTATGCTAGCGTTTAGGCCCTGGAATAGCAGATAAATTGGGAGGTTAAGCCAATATAAGATGCTAATGGGAGAAACTGTGTTTTGAGAGAAATTCGGGGGTGGGGCTAGGGAGTTTGGCTGTGCTCTTGCGACTGTGTGTAGTGCAGACTTAAATTTTGAAAGGGCAGGTCAGTTGTAGATGGCTTTTGTCTCGCTTAGCCTCTTTAATTAGCACCAGTAAACACACTGCTCTAGAGTGCCGGGGACCCTTCCTTCTCATTTAGCAATTATGTTCAAAGATTGGGCAATTGAGCTGGTAAGATTGTTCTAACCACCCCAAAGTGGCTCTATTTGTTTTAAAATTTTTGGAAGAAAATAAAAATATCCTACTCTAGCTCACTCTTCAGTGTAGCAACTGTTCTAACTGCTGTTTTTGGCAAAAGTGGAATGAAGTGAAGTGGTTCAAGTTAGGAGACAGATGGGAGATGTTTTTGCAATAGTAAGAACCCTTAAATTTGTATCCTGATTTAGGGTGCCTTAGTCTAAATTTAAATCTGTTCGAATTTTGAATCTCTCCCTAAGGCTTTAAAGTACAGACTGCTCTGTGCCAGATTTCATCGTAGCTTTTAAACCCAAGATAACACTGAGAGATTTAGTATCAGTCATTATTTACTGGTAACCCAGGCAAAGTCCACACATGCGCTGTTCTGTGTGACTTTCTGCCCCCCTCCTCTCCATGGTCTGACTTTACAGTTACCACATTTTATGGATTGTTTATCTTTCCTATTCTCCTGGGAAGCCAAGGTACTCTTTGGCTGAATGGATTGAAAATGAGTAGAGAAATAAAAATCACAGTCTAGGTATTTGGTTAGGAACAAAAGTTAACATTAGAGTGGAACTGTTGGTTTTCATGTTGTTTCTATATTTTAAGTGTTTGGGGTTTGCTCTCAGGTTCTTCTTCACTATTCCAAGCTCTACTTTTGTAATCTGTAGTATTATACCGCGTGAGTCCTCGAGCTGTGTCTTTCCTCTCTCGGCTCTTAGATGAGACTAAAGGCTGATAATAAGGGAGACGCTTCCTGGTGGCTGTTACTAGGTAGATCGTGTCTGTCTCAATTCGGGTTCACTGTGTCAACCTGATAGTGTGGGGCAGGTGGACATTCTGCTGACCAGCAAGTGGTTGTGGGGGTGGAGACTGAAGACGGATAGCTGTGTCTCCTGACAAAATAAGTCATTCCGTGGATATGAGTGTGCACGGGGAAACTGGGCCCAGCAGGTGGTGGCTCTAAGCAGGATCTGATTTCTTTCTTGGCAATGAGATTTTCTATGGCTGTCTTTTCATAGATGCCAGCTGGCACTGCCCGCTAACTGCCAGTACCTACTGGCCTTTGTAGTGGACTTGTTGCTTTCTTTAGAATGTATTCAGACACACTTTCATGTATGGCTTTGTGTTTGCTTCGTGGCGAAACAAGGTATTCAAAAGTCGAATTCATTCTTGGGGTTCACCTGGTGGTAAAACATGATAACCAAATGCAGTCAGATCCCTTTTCTCCGGTTCTTTACTCTCTCTTTAATTCTCTGGTATATTAAACGTTTGATCCCATTATTGCCATTTCAGGTTTGCTTACTGAAAGTTCTTTCTGAGTTATAAAGCAAAAAACGTTCTCATTGAGAATCCAGCCCAGAATATAGAGCTATGTAACTGGAAACAGGCCGCTGCTTTTAACTTTCCTTTGTGATATGGCATATATAATTTACTTAATTCAAAGGATCTACTTAAATACTTTGTTTTTTTTTTTGAGACAGTGTCTTATGTAGATCAGGCTGCCCTAGAACTCAGTAAATGACTGAAGCTGGACTTGAACTCCTGATCCTCGTTCCTTCCCCTCCCAAGAAGTTTAAAGATGTTCTTTAGAATTTAGAGGAAACAAGGGTAGAAGGTACAGTTTTATTGTGTCTAGAGCGGAGGAAAAACATAGGGGGTGCTGTTGGGATCAGTCCTTGTCCCTTGGAACACCAGATTGTATGAGAGAAGAAAATGACCACTTCCTCCCATTCTGTGGAAACGTTGTTGTGACACCTCTTTCCCATGGTTTCCTAAAAAAGTCCCGGGACTGACTTCAGTTTGCCTAATTTTGGTGTATTCCCATCTCTGAAGTAATCACCATAACTTACTAGCCAGGCCTAGGTTCTGTTTAGGTTGGTTGGTTTGTCTTTTTTCTCATCTCTGGAGCTTATGGATGGGATTAGCTTCCCTTCAGATGGATGCAGTGTTGGGACTAATTGAGTCCTGGCCTTCAGCTGCTCTTCCCTACTAGAGCCTTCTAATGGAAGTGACTAAAGCTGTGCTTTGCCTAGAGGATCAGAGGATGGGATTTTCACCTGTTGGACATTGAATGCCAGGTATTTTAGCCTCCATGGTGCTATTAAAGAGGGCTTTTTGGTACCAGTGTTGGAAGGTCTGTGTGTCAGTCTGTCTCTGCATGTGTATTCTCAACTTCCAGCCCCTTGCCCGAAGCTCCCAAACTGGGTTCTAGCGCATAGAGCACAGACGGGGCCCGCGGTGCGTGGCAATGCAGAACTGAAGAGGAAGATGAGGGTGTAAACCCCTAAAGAAGAAAGGAGTGCTGAGCAGATAAAAAATAGATGCCAACTCTCTCCCCAAATCTGCTTAATAGGAAAGGGATGTCCCTCTGCCAAGAAGGTATGCACAGCAGTTGGGTTACTTGGCCTCATGCTCCCTGCCCGCCCTTGTTTTGCTGCAGGTACCTGTTTCCCAAGTTCACACTGTGTTGGACGGAGTTTGCAGACATGAAAGTCCACGTTCCCTGTGAAACAGTTGACTACATTGAAGCCAACTATGGTAAGACCTGGAAGATTCCTGTGAAGACATGGGACTGGAAGAGTTCACCCCCAAATGTTCAGCCCAATGGGATCTGGCCTATTTCTGAGTGGGACGAGGTTATCCAGTTGTACTGAGAATACAAAGTTAAGGAGGGAGATTTCCCACAACAAGAAGATGGGTAACTCTTCAAAGCACCTCTGTCTTTTTGCTGCATATGAGAGCCAAAGAAGATAAATGACAAGTGGACTATCTAATCGGCTGTCATTCTACAATTCCTGAGGAGTTTCTACACTGGGTGAAATACTAGGTTCTGGTGGACAGGCAAAGATGAATGAGCAAATGCTGCCTCTCTCCTGTCAGATTGGTAAGCACTCCAGTCTTTTAAGGGAATGTCCCCCACCCTCTGAAGAGCTGGTGTACGTTACGATGTATTCCATAATGATTCTTAAAATGTTGAGTAATATTTATGCTGGAAAGTGAGCTCATCATTCAGAGCTAAGGAGGAGTACATTAGTTAGGAATCATTCATTCCTGCCTGTCCTCTGGAGTTAAGCTGTTGCATTCATGCCGCTTTTGAGACTGCGGAATGAGAGTTAGTACTTCAGTGAGTGATCAGACTTTATGTTGCATAGAGAAAGATAGTGGCAGACTCGTCTTACAAGCATTTCTACCACAGTTGGCTTAAAACACAGGGCGATTTATGAAGGGAGATGAGAGCCAATTTCAAGCCTTGTCAGGATGCATATTTTCATGTTTGAAGTGAGAAGTTGATGCCTACATGAGGCTTATGTTTCCGACATCATAGGAACGCCTTCGCTGACCTGCAGTAGCACACGCTCTTGAGTCTCTCAGTCATGCTGTCTGAAAGCTGTGATTTCCCAAGGCTTACTTTCCTTATTTCATTCTTGATCACTCTTAGATTTGAAAAATAGGAGTAATTCATGGGTGTTTTTTATTTTTTGAACTTGGAACTCTTCTCCCCTTTATTTAATGTCGACACTAAATACTAATAGAAACACTCTGAGGTTTCTAAATAGACCCTTTCTGTATCAACCCTAACTCTGTTTCTTTAATATATAGTCTACACACTATTTTATTTAGAATAAAGATGCGACTGTTCTTCTATCCAATACTACTTCAGGTGTCCATAATGAAGGCTTAATGTGAACCTGGTAACTCTTCCTTGTTCTGGATCACTGCTTTTAAAGCCTATGTCCATCCCTAGATTTTCCTTCTGCTGAGTGTAATAGACTTCCTTTTTACCAAGTACTACACCTGCTGGACCCTTGACCTCCTTCTTCTTCACACAAAATACACTTGTGAGTAGCTGTGCCCTCTATTTACCTGTACTTACGCCATGTGCTCTAAGCGAGAGATGCAGGGGAGTCTGGCACAGTAAATGCTGCCTGGAAGAGGGGGTTCTCTACTCTCTGCTTAGGGATGCGTCCATGGCAGCCTGACGGATTTTCCTTTGAAACTATAGTTACTAAAATGAAAACCAGAATGTCTAAGGGAATGGCTGCCAGAATTTAAAAAGCAAACAAACAAACAAACAAAAACCTTGGGAGGTGACTTGAAGCCACCCACTTCCAAATCTCAAAATCAAGGTGAGAACTCTTTGATAGACAATAAGCAACAGTCTGTGAGGATGTATCCTTCATGCAGGGAACTGAGTCTCATCATGACCATCATAATCAGATTTTCAGGGACCTTTATAATTATTAGCAAATGTGCCCCCAAATTATAGATCGTAAACAGTTCTTTCCTAGAAAATAAGTCCACATTCTATTTACCCACGTTTTAGATAGCCAACCCTAATTTCATTTTTTTTTTGTGCTCCAGAAATACAGCATATAATAATAGTGTTCTTGAGAAACCCCTATCTGAAGAGGCCCACTGGGTTGTACTCAGTATCCAGAAGTAGGAGCACTCACATTGTGTTTCTTGAGAGCCTCATCTTCTGCCAGGGGAGCCAACGTACTCCTGTTCAAATTGCTTTGTTTGTATCCATCTTTGAAGTTCAAGGTTGGGCAGTGTCCGGAGTACAAGCTATCTTGGCCACGGTCAGAGGTCTCATATGTTCTTTCCTACACAGAGGGCAGCTCCACATCGTGTCTTCCCTCTGATTGTCTTTAATGTTAGGGTGCCATCCTTCCTTGGAGAAAATGAAAACCTTTCCCAGAATTTGAAGGTGAGGCCTGCTTCAGAAAATGATCCCATGATTCAGACATAGTGAAGCCTATGCTTCTTCTTTTTTTTTTAATATTTATTTATTGTGTATACAGTGTATATACATGCTTGCAGGCCACAAGAGCGCCAGATCTCATTACAGATGGTTGTGAGCCACCATGTGGTTGCTGGGAATTGAACTCAGGACCTCTTGAAGAACAGTCAGTGCTCTTAACCACTGAGCCATCTCTCCAGCCCAGCCTATGCTTCTTAGCCTTTGAACTCTGTTGGGTGTCCTGAGACCTTGGGTTAGGTGTGCTCATTCCCTGTACCTTCTCAGATCACTTTTCTTTCCTTCCTGAATATGCCAGCTGTCCTTCTATAGGACTGCTTTCTGGTCTGATTGCCTGGTTTACTTGAAGATACTTATTGGTAGTTATGTAACCAAGGATATCTCCAGAGCGACCCTGAGAAGCAAACACTTTCTCAGTGTGCAACAGCCAGCTACTTTTCCAAACATGGAACACATGCCCTGCTCTTGGCTGCCTTATTGACATCTGGCCCCTGAGATAAAATAATAGTAACCACAGCTGGCCGTCTAAGAATAGCTGAGCCATTAGAGAACTGGCTTCTCAGATTCCCTTGCTAGCCTGCAGTGTGGCCACTGTGTACTTAATGAAACATTCTTTCTGGCCTCATTTCTCAGCTAGTGAGTAATCCCAGGAAGGAGCGAGCTGAGCAGAACAGCTGAGGCCAAGATGCAGCAAGTATTCTGTGACTTCTGGTCTGCTGCTGTCTGCAGACCTGAGATCAGCTCTCAGTGCGGCCTCCATGACACCTGACTCCAGTGTCTCGGGGACGTGCCCTTTGGGGTGCTCCTGCCAGTCCCCACTGAAGGCCTCAGGTGACAAAAGATGCTAAGGAGGAATGTTTCTTTCTTTTCCAAAATTTTTAAGCTACCTTCCTGATGCAGGAGAATTGTCAGTATTCTGTCAATCATATTTTAATAAAACGCTGATTGGCCAGGCAGGCAGTATAGGCAGGAAAACCAGACAGGAAGTAGAGATGATGCAATGAGAACAGGAGAATTCTGGGAAGCAGAGAAGTTCCTCTGCCACTCCTGCGCAGATCACTGAAGAGGCGACATGTAAACTGACAGCTGAAAAAGGTACTGAGCCCGTGTGGCTAACATAGATCAGAATAATGGGTTAAGATAAGTCATAAGAACTAATAAGTAGCCTGACCAAATGGGCCAATCAGTGTATAACCTTATGGAGTCCTGTGTGTGATTTTCTTTGTTGCTTGCGGCTGTTGGGGTACCAGGAGGGACAGAAACCCCAACAAGCCGGCCCTCATGTTACACCTTCCTACCTTTATCTGGGAAAAAAAGCCTTGTCTACAGAAAATAGAACCGTTTATGTCTGAAGACATCAGCCTGTGTTTCCTGACTCTTGAAATGTTTTAAAGGGTTATGAAACATAAGGTACTCCAGTTCAGGGCTAGGGTTAAGTTATGAAATGTACGTTTCCTACTTCCTGTTTCCTTGGTAATCGTTTAAATAGGATACTTAAATTGTAGGTGAGGATACACTGCCTTCTCAGAAGGTTGCATGGCAGAAGTTGCTTAGAAATAAAATTGGGGGTGGGGCCCTGAGATGACTTAGTGGGTAAAAGCCCTTGTCACCAAAGCTATATTGAGCGTGATCCCCAGGACCCATCCAGTGCAAGGAGAAAACTGATTTCCACAAGTTGCCTGTGACTCCCTGCGCGTAGGCTACAGTATGCTTGCATCTCCTCTCCAGCACACAGGTAAATGTAGTGAAACAGCCTAGTATGTCTGCACCGTGCAGGTCAGGTTATGTCCTTTATGAACTGAGAGTCATTGCTGTATTACCTCCACCTGTAAATAGAGCTGCGTTTTCATTGAGCTGACCAAGCCGCTGTCTTCTGAGCATATCCATGTACTGTTTTCTTCTAAGCCCGGCCAGTTTGCTCTCAGATTTGGTGCCTGATCTGCTATGGACTTGCTTTTCAGTATTCTAGTTTTAGGTGGCAAACATCACTGTATAAATCTGCAGAACCAAAGCTTTGGAATGCCTAGTTATTCACTGCCTACCCTGGATGGAGATGTGGATAGTGGAGACTTCTTGCCCAGCATATGTGAGGCCTGGGTCAGTACAAATCACCAGAAATCTGAGCAGAAGGATTACCATGTTGAAGACCAGCCTGGGCTACACAGTGAGTTTCAACGCATCCTGGGCTACCGTGTTAAGACCCTGTACTGAGGGAGGGGGAAGGAGGAAAGAGAGACAGAGACAGAGGAGATGATGCTCATGTCAATCATCTGCCCACAGATGTATGTTTGTGTCTAAGCTAGGCAAGAAGCAGCAGCGTGTGTCATGCTGTTTTAAGTTACTTCACATTAGAGCAAAACACTAATTATAGTCAATTGTAGGCAAACAGACCAATTCAGTGTTGAGTCCTTTTGTATATGACCAGTAAGCAGATATAAATTTTCTGAGAAATTTGTTTCTGTTCCCTCAGAACACCTAGACTAGAATTGCCCCTATAATTCCTAGACCCAACCTAATAGAATTTCTCTGAGGACCCACACAGCTATCTGAACTTCTTCTGAGTAGCTTTCAAAGAAGGAGCGTATAGGAAAGCTTTGTCACATAAAATATCCTGCCATGCACTTTAAACACTATAAGCTCTACAACCTTCTGACAGTTTGTTCAAAGCATGAAAACTAGTTCATGAGTTTATTGAATGCAAATAATGTGTGACTCTGTCAACATGTTATGACTATAAAACATGTATGTGAATTTTCTAGACCATCTCATGTTTAAACATGGGATTTCCGTGTATGCATACCAGTTTCCTACATGATTTTTGTCTTCAGGTATAGTTTATGGTACTACTGAAAAGACTTTTAATATTATTACTCTGAGGATTTGTAATATATGATCTACTTTGGGATGTTTAATAAAATTTTTTAATCTCTTGTGCTTTTTTGTGTTTTTGAAACTTAAGCTAGAAATAAAAGCCACTTGTTGTAAGGAGGCTGCTAGTTAGTTTCCAGCTGCTCAGCCCCGAAATAAGCACTCAGAAACCATATTATTTGCAATACTGTTTGGCCAATAGCTTAAGCATATTTCCGGCTAACTCTTTTATCTTAATTTAACCCATCTCTGTTAATCTATGTATCGCCACAAGGCTGTGGTTTACCAGGTAGAGTTCTGGCGTCTGTTTTCGGAGGGGCTACATGGCTTCTCCTGACCCTGCCCTCTTTCTCCCAGCATTCAGTTTAGTTTTCTCCACATAGCTCTACTCTACCTTTATCAAGCCAAGTCGGTTTCTTTATTAAACAATGGTATTCACAGCATACAGAAGGAAATTCCACATCAGCCTCTAACATTCAAAACTGGTAAAATAATAATCTTGCCACAAATACAATATTTCTAAAAATCAAGTCTAGAAAGTTTACATGTATACACTGGGATACATAATTTCTCAGTGACAAAGTCTGCTATATGACATCTCTAATCATGCAGAATTTGGCTTATCCACTCATGGTAGCCAGGGTAAACACCCACTGTGGAATACCCACTTTGGACATACTCAAAGAGCTCTAGAAAGTTCTCTTACAGTATTCAAGCTAAAGTCAAAATTGTAATGAAATGTCCCCGCATGGGGTGACAATCCCTAGTTTATGCAAACCCGACTATCTTTAAATAGGAAATATATATATATAAGAAACCAAAGAAGACATACATGAATAGACATACTGTGTGTTGAACATTAGAAAACTCAAAAGATGTGAAATTTGCCAAAATTGATGTATTGGTTTGGTGTGCAACTCCTACAATGATCTCAGCCATGTTTTTCTAAGCCTTATTCTAAAATTCATATGATGAATTTATCTAGTGGAGCTCAATCCATCTTGACAAAAACAGGTTTGACAAAAAGAATAGAAAAGAGAGCACAGGAGAGATGGTTCCAGCGTATACTAGGCAATACTAGGTAATCTTCCAGAGGTCCTGTTTCAGATCCCAGCACCCACATGGAAGCTCACAACTGAGCTCCAGAGGACCCAACACCCTTTTCTGTTTCTGTGGGCACCAGGCATATGCACGGTGCACATATATACGTGCAAACAAAACAAACATGCCATTTTAAAGAATCTAAGACAAAAAGATGCAAGTCTTCTCACATTTTAATAGGTCTGTGATCTAAGGGAGATGGTGATCCCGAGTTTCACAGTGAAATTGCTCTGTAGAGATAACAGATCTTAAACCCTGTCTTCTCATTTGAAATCCACTGGCTACAACTTCTGCCAATTATTACTACTGGTCTAGAAAATTAAAAATTAAAAATAATTTTTAAAATTAGAACTTGAATCCAACATTATTTTTTTCAGCAAGCAAATACATATATAAATTTGGTATAAAAACTTTATGGGGTAGCAATAGCTGGTGCCTGAGTCCTCTGCAAGGAAACTGCTGTGGGTGTTCACAAAATGGTGAATGCAGCCCTTTTCCAGAAGCCAAGGATCTTAGAGATGGCATCAAAGGTGGCTGTACTGAAGTTGTCCATGTGTCAGCGCAGCCCCAGCCCTCAGTGCTGGCCAGCGGCAGCAGCTTGAACACAAGAACCTGAGCTTCTCAGGGAAAGGGTGAGGCACATCAGAGGAACCACAGTAGCCCATCACCTCACATGGTACAGTGTGGAGTTTCTCATTCTTTTTCCACCAGTAATGTGGCATCTCTGCATCGGGACAATGGGAATCTTGCCCCCATAGCTGCCAGCACCTACTTCCTTGGGGTTTTAACACCTAGGTCAACAAACATTGTAGACCATAATGGCTACAAAGCTGGCCCGGCGCCTCCACTTCAGCCCTGGCCTGATCTTCAAAACCTCATCAAGGGACACTCTAAGGAAAAAGTCAGTAATCTCATGTTCTTGGATGGACAGAGAGAACAGGTAGCTCTTCAGGGACTTGGTCGTTATGGTCCCTTGACCAGGGG